GGTCTCGAACCCGTGGGCTCTGGCAATCCACTCACTTCAGCCTCCCAAAGGCACGGGATTACAGGCTGAGCCACCGAGCCCGGCTGTTTGCCAACTTTGTAATGGACTTTTCTGTCCTGGAGTCTAAGCAGAATGGCGTCCTTAACTCTGGGTTTCAGGTACTCTGTACGTGTGTCACCTCAGATGGCGAACCGCATTGTGGATTCTGCAAGGAGCATCCTCAACAAGTTTATACCCGATATCTACATTTATACAGACCACATGAAAGGAGTCAACTCTGGGAAGTAAGTGTCTGTGTTTTTGGCATCTGCTCTGCAGCTGTCCTCTCCTTTTTCATATTCCTGTTTTAGTTGAAGCTAAAACTGCCAGCTCTGAGGTTGGGCGGGCGGAACAATGATTTAGGAATTAATTTCCTTCTGACTTATTGCCATTGTCACAACAAGCATTTATTAAGTGCCTGTCACATGGAAAACATCCCAATGGCTAGTGCTGGAAACTGAGGGTCCAGTTCCTAGCCTCTGGAAATTAAAACCTACCTAACAGAAGGTGCCAAAAAAAATGTATACACATTTTTAGAAAGGAGAAAACTATTAAAATTGTAATACTCAATATATACCAATGACAAAAGATGAATACAAGTCACTTTTGACTTCTGCAATTATAAGAGGTTCTCAAAGTGGTTACCAGCAGCGTCCAGACACTTCTCATTACAGCGAACATCTCTTAAAATGTATACTTTTTTTTTTTTTTTTTGCATTCCCGGTATTAATAAACAGAGCTTCAAACTTTACAGCCCATCTACATTCTATTCCAACAAAAAATTAAAGTGAGTTTTCTTCCCCTTTGAGTAAATGACAATATAGAGTAAACTGTTATCTAAGTGCAAGTCAGCATCTCTCTCCAGTGGAAACAACACACCAGGATCCAGAAGAAGTTGTTATCGCAGACTTGAATTTGATTTAGTTAAAGCCTTTGTTTTGCATCAAAAAAAAAAAAACTAAAATATTTTTAAATTAGGAAAAAATTCTAAGTAAGGAAAATAGAGGAAATAAAACCAAAAAAGATTGATCTATGTAATGAAGATGCCTGTGTTAGGCTTTGCTTGTGTATTAGGAAACCAGGGCGTTAGGGAACCAATTAAAACCACTGTCTTTAATGATGAAAAATGTGAAACATAGAAAAGTTGAAAGAATAGTACAATGAACACCTGTATAAAAGTTGAAATAAAGCCGGGCTCGGTGGCTCAGCCTGTAATCCCGTGCCTTGGGAGGCTGAGGTGAGTGGATTGCCTGAGCCCACGGGTTTGAGACCTGCTTGGGCAATTTGGTGAGACCTCATCTCTATAATAAATCAAAAAATTAGCCAGGTGTGGTAGCGCGTGCCTGTAGTTCCAGCTACTTGGAAGGCTGAGGCGGAAGGATCGCCGGAGCCCAGCAGATTGGGGTTACGGTGGCCGGGAGCGGCCGCTGCACTCCAGTCTGGGCGATGGAGTGAGACTCCAACTCAAAAAAAAAAAAAAAGTTGAAATAATAGTATAGTGAGCACCTGTGTATATATACCTGAGCATATATATATATATATATATATATATATACAGTCGACAATTTATATATATTATAATTAACAATTAATATATTTACATTTAACAGTATTTTGCCAGATTTGCTTTACTTGTTTGTGAGTTTTCTTTGTTTTTTGCAGAACTGTTTCAGTGAGAATGATAGCAACATTCCTCTTTGAATCTCGAGTTTATAAGTTGTGTCTCCTAAAAATAAGAATATCAGAGAATAGGGTTAACTGTTGTGGGTTAGGAAGCTGATCCTTTTTTTATAGCCATTCTACCTACAGTTTCTTATAATTCAGCGAAGAGGAAAAGAATAAAGGAGGGGGTGTTCCACACAATTGTTGACCTTCGTAAGGCCTAGTGGGAAGGTGAAGGTGATTTCGGAAGTACAGTGGAGGCTTATAGCCCATAGCAACAGAGCTTGTGGCGAGAGGCTGGGGTTGGGAAAGGATTTGGGTGCAAAACTGGCCCTTTCTTCTGGGTTTGGGAAAGTCAGTGAGGCTTCTACATCTTTGATTTACATTCAAATGCCAACAGTATTTTTCTCAGTTATAATCGAGGAGGATAAAGCTTGCATCCTGGGGTTATTGTAAAGATCATATTAAAAAAAACTGTGAATGCCCTGCCTGGCTTGTAGAAGGTACTATAGAACTGGTAGCTGCTGATGTGGTTCTTTCCTTTCTCCTCTTCTTGGCCACAGGTCTGGGATTATGTGTCAGCTATTTTCTGGAGAGAGGGAATTGCAGAGGGTTTGGGGCAAATAGGTAAGAGCAGAAGCTGTCTAAATGGCCTCATCTTGATGGGCCCTTCTCTGTCTGGCCCCTAGCTTTACCAGAAAGTGGGCTCTGCTGTCACCAGCTACAATGTGGCTTTGTATAATAACACTGACTTAGCTGACCCTAGTGGGTGGTCAAGTCCCCTGCAAACTAATGGCGAGTAGAAGCAGCCCTACACATGGATCAAGATGTGGATGTGATGAAGGCTTGAAGGCCATCAAATTTAAGCTCCATTTAAAAAATTACGTGTATAACCAATGTATAATTTAAGTTCATGTTTAGTTTTTTAAATCGCAAGATACAAATGACAAGGGGTAATCTTCCTTTTCTGTTATTAAATTATAAAGTCATTTATGTACCAAATCCTGACTTATACCCCACATCTTTAAAATAAAAAAGAAATAAAGAAAATTATAAAGTCATGGATAGGTATTTCCCTCTTCTGAATCAGTGACTCATCCAGTGAGTTAGACTTGTTCAAATGGGGGAGTGAGAGTTTATGTTGTGCCCATGGCCTAGAGCCTTGGGGGCTAGCAGTTTCTTGGTGGCCTGAGTCAACACTTTGACTGGCATGCACATCAGTCCAGGATGGTCCCATTTTGACTCTCACAGTAGTTAGTTTTTAAAAAAATTGAGTCCTTTACCAATTGGAAGGCTTTAGAGGCTCTCTTCTACAAACTGTGCCAGTGCAGATGTCTAGTGAGTCACTTGATAACCAGCAGTTCTGTCAGCATAACTTGAAATAGGCCTGATAACACACAAACCCCAGGTTGGGGGGAAAATTGAAGTCAAGTACGTAGAGCTTAATATGTGTTCTTTGTTTTTTCTAAAGTTACTTAATAATTTTAAATGGAATAATCCTGATTAAATGTAAAGTTGATTGTAATGACAAATACACTTCAGAAAATTCACATGGATGGAAAAACTCAGAAATTCTTGGGAAATGCAGGCCAGTGGGTTAAAGCAGCAGTGGTAGTTCGTCTTCCCTCCCTTCATCTTGTGCACTTCATTTTTACATGTCAGTGCTTCTCCTGCTAGGCTGGACACTCTCCCTCCTGGTCAAGTGACTCAAAGGCAACTTGGAATTGTACTAAAGTATTCTCGGTGTCCCATGATGATGGGTGAGTGGCACAGTGTTAGATTGTTAAGCATGACTCAGAGTGCCTCAGAACTTTGATTAAATGAGTAATTCCCTACACCCCCTTTCCTTGGCAGGTGTTATTAGCTCTTGACTGTATAGACAAATCAAATTTTTTTAAACTAATTGCACAATATAGTTTTTCCATAAAGTGAGCTCATATAGTTCATTTGAAACATCATTAAGTTTTTACATAGTTTTTCTGAAATAAATATTTTGTCTGCTCTCCTACTGTGTGCATAGAACATATTTCATGAACATGTATTGAATTGTTGAAGAAGGCAAGTCTGTGTTTTGTTGGCTTATTGTACTGCTTAGAAGGCTGTTGTGCCTTTCCTGATGATGTGTTTGCTTAAAAAAGCTTTGGGCAAAGTAGTTTGAGGTGTCAAATCTTGACATTTTGTGGAGAGATGCTTGTTATTATTTTTTAAGGACTGGTTTTCTCCTGTGGTGAGACTGATTGTTACTAGATCCATGGGAGCAAGAACTCGTGTTTACCATGGTACCCCCTGTACTGTGTATGCTTTTCCTAAGATATTTGTTGGAGGCATGAATGAATCAACCAGGGACGGTCCTGGACAAGAAGGGTGCTAGATTCCGGCTGTTGGGTGGTAGAAACACAATAGGAGAGAACATAGTGCCAGCTCATTGATTGTATTAATTGAATTCTGAGTTTAGAGCTGTTCCTTGGGGACAAAAATGTAAGGTGGGTCTTTTTTAGGCCCTATCTGACTTTTGTGGTATTTTTCATTATGTGAAAAAAAACTGATGATTCTCAGAAGCATTTTAATCAGGTGGCTTCCAGGCCCCGTATACTCCTGGCTTGGTGATGACTGAGGTTTGAGTATGTGCTGTGGTAGAGTACTTGTCTAGGCTTTGGAGTCTGAAAGACCTGCCTTTGAAACTCTCTAGTGTTATGGACCTGGTGCAAGTTGCTTCGTTTCTTCACTCATAGAATGAAGGCAGTGATATCTACTCTGCAGAGTTGTAGTATCACAAATACCATTAGCAAAGCCCCTAAACAGTAATTGGCAGAAAGTAGGTGCTCAATGTCTGGTAGCTCTTAGTAATGTTGTCATATAAAGTTGACTATTACAAACTTTCATAGTTAGAGCCTTTATAGTAAAGAAGAAGAAGAAGACAGGGAAAGGAAGGGCCAATAGGAAAGTATTTGAATTCATGTCTTTTGGTTCTGCCTTGTATGCGTTCACTAAGTCACCTATATCTCCAATGTAAGCTGGAACAATGCTCTGATGTTAATGTAGCTGGAAGGACACCTTAGGACACAATGCCATCAAAAAGTATATGTCTTCTCTTTCTATTTGCTAGTGAGTGTAAGCCCTCTTCATCAACCCCACTCAGAGTCTGTGTCTTTGTATCTCCAGGTCTCCAGGCTTTGGATTATCACTTGTTGCTGAGACCACGAATGGCACCTTCCTCAGTGCTGAACTAGCCTCCAACCCCCAGGGCCAGGGAGCGGCAGTGCTTCCAGAGGACCTTGGCAGGAACTGTGCCAGGCTGCTGCTGGAGGAAATCTACAGGGTATGTCCTCAGCCCCTGCAGGTTCTGGGAGAGGAGCGATCCAGAACAGTTGGTTGTCTTTCATTCTTATCCCTTGGCAATGTTCTTCTCTTCCAAGGGCTTAGGATTTAACCTGTTCCTACGCACTAAACAATTCAGCATTAACTAGTTTATCAATTAGTTGAACTAGTCAGTAAGTAGAGATCCAGCCCCACTGGGTTGGGACACAGGGCAGGTAAGTTTTAACAGTGGGCAGGGGAGAGAACTGGAACAGACTCATAAAGGAGAAAGAAGGTTTTTTTTTTAAAAAACAAAAACGAAGCAGGGATAGTAAGATGGTAACTGGCATACTGCCCTGACCAAAGAGGGTTCTGTCTTCAGCACCCCGGTTGTCATTTGGGAATGAAGACTCATTGTTTTTAGATTTTTCAAGAGAAGCTAGAAATCTGGATTTGTATGTGACAGTTGGTTTGGATATAAAATAATGTCAACAGGTTAGATTTTGCAATGTGTGTTCTGGAGCACAGAAGGATATCTAGGGCAGGCAGGCCTGTGGCATAGCATAGTGGAGGCTTTGGAATATGTGAGAACATGGGACAAAGGAAGGGTGGCCTGATGTTGATGACAGACTCAACCAGTGACCAGTATGTTTCTGCAGCTCTGCTTGTGGGATGCAGCTCAGACCAGCTTGCTCTCCCTTTGTCTGTGGGTCCATGCATACACAAATACATACACTTTCTTTTATTTTAAAAATAGTGGAAAGGACCTCAAGTAAGGATGAAATTAGGAGGGACGTGAAGATGATGGCAGAAGTAGTAATATGCAGTTGGCTGAAAAATACGTTCTCTGAGGTTCCATATACTTAGAGGAGGACACAATTCTGGTTCTGAGGTTTCTGTTAGGCTATACTGTCTTTCACCTTGGTCCCAGATCAGGAAGACTAAACCTTCTCCTCGACATGCAGAGTCTAGGACAGTCTCTGAGGGATGGTCATTTCCCTGCTCAGTATGCTGGGCCTCAAATTCTTGAAGTAAGTCCTAGCAAGAACTATACTCGAGGTGATTTTCTACTGTTTGGTATTTAATGTTTATAAATTTTCTCTCTTCTCCATGTAAGGGGCTGAAGAGCCTTTCATCTTTGTATATCTGTGTATTTATTTTTGGTTCTTAGGCATTTCTATGGTCTCCAAGGAAATTTTGCCCTGTTTAAAGTAGCAAAAAGCACATCTGATTGAGTGAAATAAAATCAGTAAGGTGGGTACAGTGCTGGTTTTCTTTCATTTATACTTTTTGCCACTGGTTCAGTTCACTAATCACTGTGGTAGGGTGAATCTCAATCATGGGTATTGATCCCCAGCCTGGCCTCACAGTGAAAAGAGCTTACAGTCCAAGTCTACTCCCCTGATCCCAGTCAGTGTTCCCGAAAATGTCTTACTGTGAGTTGGAGCAAGTGAGAATGAACTGTTTCAGAATGAAGTGAAGTTTCCAGGTCCTAAGTAGCTATAGTCAGTGTCTATCTAATTAATTAAGAAAACAAAGAACTTGTGGTTGTATCTTCAGGAGAGTGGCTTCATCCTCCTCTATCCACCATTCAGCTAGGAAATAGTGGAGGAGGGAGATGAAATCCTCCTGAGGAAAGAGGTATTTTTTCACATGTGCAGTCAATAGCTGACCTTAGATTTCTTGGTACTAAATCAGTTAATTTTTTAATGCTAAGTTTAGTAACTCTTAAAAGATGAGTAGTAACTAAAAGTTTGTTGATAAATGTCAAGAGGTTGTCGTGCCAGTTACTTAGTTCATGGTGTTTGTTATCTATACATTTGTAAGGGGGAAAGAGGTGTGTGTGATGTGTGACTCCCTGCATCCCTTGTTGACTTGTGTGTTTCCTTTTCTTGGTTCTGGAGTAGCTGGCAGGGCTTCTGAGTGTGGGACACTTCCATCCTTTTCTAGTAGGCTTCAGGAGAATTGGAAGCATCGCATTACATAGTCCAGTAGAAACCTAAGGGCACAGCTAGAGTGTGGGTTTTATATCCCTATAAATAGCAGATTATAAGCTTCAGGGTAAAATAGCCCACCAGTCCACAAGAGGAAAAAGCATGCAGTTTGGATTAGGTTATTTTAATTTTTTCTTTGAGATCTACATTTAAAAAATTTTGCCTGGACTAGGTGTTTTTGTTTGTTTTTGCTTTTATTCATTCAGAAAACTTCCTTTGTGTGTCTATGATCTTTAATTATTAAAATGATGAAAATACCTTCTGTAGTGCTGTGATGTGACGGATTGTAAAAAAGCCCATCCCTTTTGCAGGTGCTGTTGATCAGTTTTAAGCCTCTGATCTAATCTCTCCTGTTTTACTTACGTCTCATCAGTTACCAAGCCCTCTTGATTCTGTCCCAAGCTTTCTGGAGTTGCCATTTTCTTGCTATCCTTTTCACTGTTCCATCCATTGCATATCTTCCCTCCCTGCCCCACAACTCTAGATTATATGCACCTCTAGAAGGGAAGTTCTTTCCAAACCTTTTCTAGTATCCCTTTCAGTCTAAATCTCCTCACAAAACACCAATCTGATCTCTTCACTCTTGTGCACAGAGATCTTCACTCGCTTCTCACTTGCCAGCGATAAGTCAGAGTTCTTTATCCATTTAGGAAAGCCTCCCTTTGCTTGGGCCACCCACCTTCTCTCTGCTTGTGTGCACCTTCTCCACAGGCAGCTGCGGCACCTTTCAGACCGGCCTCCTGGCTGTTTGGCTCTGACTCTGAGTTGTTCTTTCCCTCATTGTTCCGCTCATCCCTCCTCTCCAAATCCTGCTTATTTCTCTAGGGCAGCTCCAGTTCCCACTCTCTAAATCCTCTGGTGTCTGAGTGACACCATCTTCGCCCCCGCCTCTCCCCATCTTGGCAGTCTGGTAGCCCACCACTCCCTCCATGGTGTCATGTACATGGATCCTGACATGTTATCCTGACGTATTTATTACATTAAGATATTGTTCTGCTAAGCAGAAGCCATTTGATAATGGTAGAATAATAGCAGTGATAGGAAACAGAGACTGAAGAGAACAGTTTAATTTTAGATAGTCTTATGAAAGGGAGCAAGATCTGTAAAACAGGATTCATTTTGTTGGTCTTCATTCCTTCATGGGTCAGGTTTTCCTTTTTGGATAGAAAAGGAACTCTTTTTGTCCTCAAATTCCCTAAGTGAGATAAATATTGTTCTGTGCTGTTTTTTAATGTAGGTAGTTTAGGGAAGAATAATAGATTTTAATAAAGGCTAGCAGTAGGAGAAATCCCCTTGTTTCCTATACCATAAGAGAAGCTACATGAACTCTGACAGCCAGAGAATGAGTATCTGTGTACCTGAGAATTGATGTACTCCCTACCCTACATGCATTTATAAAACGGGGTATACCTACATAAACAGCACTGGCTGGCTACCTGTTCTGTTCAGTCTAGTTTTGTATAGCCATGGTCAGAAACTGGGTTTCTTTTTTTTTCATTTTTTATTTTATTTTTTGAGTTGGAGTCTCACTCTGTCACCCAGACTGGAGTACAGTGGCCGCTCCTGGCCACCGCAGCCTCGACCTGCTGGGCTCCGGCGATCCTTCCGCCTCAGCCTTCCAAGTAACTGGAACTACAGGTGCATGCTACCATGTCCGGCTAATTTTTTGATTTATTGTAGAAATGAGGTCTTGCCAAGTTGCCCAGGCAGGTCTCAAACCCGCAGGCTCAGGCAATCCACTCACCTGAGCCTCCCAAAGCATGGGATTACATACAGGCTGAGCCACCGAGCCCGGCTTTATTTTTTATTTTTGAGTTGGAGTCTCACTCCATCGCCCAGGCTGGAGTACAGTGGCATGCTCACGGCCACCGCAGCCTCGACCTGCTGGGCTCAGACAATCCTTTCACCTCAGCCTTTCAAGTTGCTGGAACTACAGGCACACACCATCATGCCCGGCTAATTTTTCAATTTATTGTAGAGATGAGGTCTCGCCAAGTTACCTGGTCTGATCTCAAACCTGTGGGTTCGGGCAATCCTCTCACCTCGCCTCCCAAAGTGCAGGGATTATAGGCGTGAGCCACCACGCCTGGCCAGAATCTGGATTTCTTATTGTGACCTGTGCAAAATATGTAGAAATTCAAGGTCACAAGGTCATCCTGCTTTTGCTATGTATAATATAAGTTTAAATCATTTTAAATAAAGTTATCCCAGAAAGAATGATCAGAAGTATACATTTTTAAGGTACTTATTTAAACAGCAGTTATGTATGCGTCTAGTAAAAGGAAACAACACATGGTTGAGAAAAACCAAGAATGAAAGAAGAAAGGCAACCAAAGCAGTTGTGCCTTTGGAGAAAGTTTTTGAAGGTAATTCTGTACTGCTTACTAATTTAGAAGAAAAGGAAGGAATAATGTGGGGAGAAAATAATGCATAAGTAATAAGAATGGAGGAATCTAACCTTAGCAGTTCTCTAGTTTTAAGGCACACAGGGAGAGAGAAAGAACAGAAATTATATAACATGGCAAACAGTTTCGACTGTATTTGAGTAAGTGTAATAATAGTAAGACTGTAAAGCCATATCATGCTAGATTGACTATGTTGTTCTGTGACAGATAAATACATATAAACAACATCCACTTAACACTTGACATTAACTATACATCTCCTAGAACTGATTATGCTTTTTTTGCATATACTCAGTAAAAATGATGTCATACTGCTGTTTTAATTACAGAGGGAAAGTTTCATTTTTCACTATTCCTAAAGTAAGTTGATACAAGGATTATCCTTATAAGACCTGTCATCTTTTTTATTATTGCTTGAACTTTGCAGTTTGCTATTCTGTGGGTTCTGATATTCTGAATATGTTTCTGGGTTTTTTCCTACTCTTTTGTTAGTTTTCCATTTTCTGGTTTGTCCAATGATTAATTTTTGTTTACAGGGTGGATGTGTAGACTCAACCAACCAAAGCCTGGCTCTACTCCTTATGACCCTTGGACAGCAGGATGTTTCCAAAGTTCTGCTAGGACCACTTTCTCCCTACACGTAAGTTGTTTTCTTTCAACCTCATTATTCTGTCTGGTGTAATTTTCTAATTGCACAAAATGACAAAAGAGTTTTTCTGTACATAGCCTGTCACGATGGATACCCACTTACGTTGATCCTTAAAAGTGATAGCAGTTGTCACCTATAACCTGGTGTTTATTTTTACACACAAAGACTTTTACCTGCTTTTGTTTCTTCATTTCCATCCATCATTCCCATGTTACTGTTCCCATGTGCGATACCTATTGGGTGGTTCTTCTTTTGTCTGTGCTTTAGATTTTGTTTACATTCTGGAAGTAAACTCCTGGTTCCATGTAGTTGAAATTTTATTAGGTTTTTAATAGTTCTTTTCCCTAGCAGTCTCAGTTGCTGTGGCAAAACAGGCCGTCGTAGACTGGGCTCGGTAGCTCAGCCTATAATCCCAGCTCTTTGGGAGGCCGAGGAGAGTGGATTGCCTGAGCCCACGGGTTCAAGACCAGCCCAGGAAACTTGGTGAGACCTCGACTCTACAGTAAATAAAAAATTAGCCAGGCATGGTAGCTCATGCTTGTAGTTCTGGCTACTTGGAAGGCTGAGGCAGAAGGATCTCCAGAGCCCAGTAGGTCGATGCTGGGGTGGCCGTGAGTGTGCCACTGTGCTCCAGCCTGGGCAACAGAGTGAGACTCCAACTCAAAAAAAGACAACAACAACAAAACCAGGCCATTGTCTTGTCCAAGGTGATAGGGTAGAGAGGGCTGGAAAAAGATGATGAATGACAGAGTTCGTAATAATGCTACTAGACTGGTAGGGAAACTGTAGAAGTGTGTTTGGGATATTGGATGGGAGCAAAAGCTGACTGCTAAGGTATAAAAACAAGCACACTTCAAAAAGAACGGCTTGTCAGAAGACTTGAATTATAAACAACATATTTCCCATTGATAGTAAATGAGGTTGCTGAAAACAGCCTGCTTGAGTACTGACATTTTGTGTGTGTGTGTGTGTGTGTGTATGCATATGTGCTTATATACTTAGAGATCATCATGGCCATCTGTGGGTGGAGAACTGGGTGGGAAGGAATATTCAGGTAGATATGAGACTGAACTGTCCTTTTTCGGTTATCATGGTACCGATGCTGTATATCTGAAAGGTACAGTACTGTGATAACTGAAGAATGGTGGTGCCATCACATTGAGAAAGGGGCAAGGACTGCGATGGGCCATTGCAGCTCTGGAAGCATGGAAACCAGGAACTTGAGATTCTTTTGGAAGCTTTTGCTTCTTTTGCTGGTGGTGGTGGGAGGCTTTTTTGGAACAGGGAAATAGAAGAGAATACATTCTCTTAGCAGTGGAGGAAGACTGATAAGCAGGAAACTGATAAGCAGGAAACTGGGGAGGACCACACTATCTCCTGATAACTTGTGTGAAGTATTTCACAGGACAGGAAGCCTAAAGTTGGGTAATCCCAAATGCATGCTTTTTTTTTTTTTTTGAGTGGGAGTCTCACTCTGTAGCAAATGCATGCTAATGTCAGGGGTCAACATTGCTGAAACAGACTTGGTAGTTAAGCATTTGAAGAGGAGGTGAGGGCTGGGAGTACAGCACCCTAGGTGCAGTGATTTGCTTCCCATAGGGAGTTTACTGGAAGAAGCTGCCAGCTGTGTGAGCACCATGGCCCTGCCAGCTTTTCCGCTGGTCTCACTACTGCTGTTTCCCAGCCCCTGCTTTGGGGCCACTGAAGGTCTGACTGCTCACACAGCGTGAGGTGTTGTCTCAAAATGTGTGTGGTCCTGGGACATGGGGTTTGGCAGAACATTATGTGAAAATGGAATATATATTTTTATTTTTCCTTGACACTTTTTTTTTCTTTAGGAGATTTTTTTTTTCCAAGTTGACTCCAGGCTCTTGTATAATCTTTTCAAGTCAGCAGCCTCGTTGGAGCTGGTTAAGATGTGACTGGACATTTTAAAAAGGTTCTGTGTCCTCTTTAACACACTCCTTCACCAAACATTAATTGCAGTGTCTTTTCTTCCAGAAACCTTGCCTAAAATTATTGCATCTCCTGGGCAAAGTGGTCTGCTCCGAATGAGCTTTAAAGAAATAGGACAAATTGTAAGATGAAGTGTTTTGTGGGGCTAGGACTTGGAAACAGACTTCTTTCTCTGGATTACCTGCCTCCTGGGGCTTCATGCAAAGGGGGCAGCTGGGGTGGGAAAGGGCAGCCCCCCTTCTTTTTGGTGAGCTTGCACAAGGAGGGCCAAAGGAGTATATTTGCAAGAAAGCTGGATCTGTTTGGTACCCTTTCTGTCCTGAATCACTGTGGAAGTTTTCAGTGGCCCCAAGTGGTGAAGGGTGAAGGGAAGACCCAGCAGGAAGAGTTAACATTGTCTTTGTGAGTACAGTACAGTTGAGGGTAAAAAAGGGACAGAATTCATAGCTGGGACCGCTGTGGTGGGGGAATAGTTTATTCTAGGTAGATTCAAGAACTTTGGAGATCAAACTGTCAAATTTATTTTTATGTGCCGTTTAAGTCATAGAAACCCGTTTTGTGAAACCTTTAATTTCTAAAGAAAACCAGAAGCAAAACCCTCCATGGTTTGAAACAACATATTTCTTCTGGCAGCTTGCACCTGTTTTGATTTGTATAAATAGCTTTTTAAATGGCTATTTAAAGAGCACTGGGATTAAGAAGGTTTTTAAAAAATTTTCCCCCAGTATTGCTTTTAAACCCTTTTTGGAAAGTAAGGGTCTCTTTGTCCCTTCCTTATTTTCCTCTTCCTACTGTCTTGCTTCAGGAGATTGCTGTTGGTGGTTTTCTGTCTTACCTGAGAAAGTAAGTCTATATGTATGAAGTTCTCCAGGAGGGCCAGAGAGATTTTTTGGGTTTTTTTGATAGAATAAAATAATATTGGATAATACACTAGTATGTGGAGAGTCTGTTTCTGTGAAATTTGTTATGTTTTAGATGGCTTACAGTTGGTGACAGTGGTTGTGCCCTTTCCTCAACCAGCTTAATTTTACAATTTAGGGAGGATTTGTACTTTATTTGGAAGTTGGATTAACAGCTAGAAAAATATATATCACACACATCTTCATTAGCACCTTTAGAAATTGTGACAGGCGACTACAGATGCCAGAGTTCTTTAATTCTGCCAGTGCACAGGCCTTGGAGTTCAGCCTATCTGAACTTAAATTCTGGCTCTGCTGTGGGGCCACCAGGAGACCATAGTGTTTCTGGCATTTAGTGTCTCAGACCCTAGATGTCATCTGTTAATAAGGTGCGTGGTCCTGAAATCACAGACTTTTGGCAGAGCTTTTGGCAAAGCTTCAATGAGGTCAGGTGCTTAGTGCCGGTGACTACACGCCTGAGGAACTCAGTTGAGTGCCAAGGTTCCTGCCTGGACACCCCCTTGCCCTGAACCAGTTCAGTCTCTTGCTCAGGTCACTTTGACAGCAAGAGGTCTAGTAAACTTGCTTTGGGTGAACCTAGGCCTGAAAAGCAGCTGTAAAATTTCTAACTTCCTCCAGTCACACTACTAAACAGATTACACACATCTTATTGCCTGCTCCCAACAATTATGTGAGGTAGGTGTTTGCTTAACAGATAGCATGTTTACTGTGTGTCAGATGTTGTTTTAAGTGCTCATAAATATTTCAGTTTTCATCATAATCCTGTGAGGGTGAAAAGGGTAGGTATGCACCATCCTCAGATGATGGAATTGAGGCACAGAGAGGTCAAATTATGTGCCCAGAGTCATACAGATAGTGAGTGGGGATCAGACCTGGACAGTGTTATCCAGAGTTACTGCTTCCCTCTCCCACTGTGCTGTCAGGTAAGAGCTGGGATTCCATCTGTATTTTTGGACTCCGGGCATCTTATCTGAGGCACAGTGTCAGGCTACATCTTTTTAGGAGAGTCCTTGTTTCAAATTCTGCTGATCTCCCTCCGTCTTTAGTTGGAAATCTAAAATAAACCATGCCTCTTTGTTTTTTCTAATTTTAATAAATGGCCTCTTTCCATTACTTGTGGAAGTGTTGGGGAGCTAGAACCTACGGTCCTTGTTAAGTGTCAATTGACCAGGGCTTTTTGGCTCATCTCTACTGAAGCACACCTTACCCTTCCCAGACAAAGTGGTTTATTTCAGAAAACAAAAACCAAGCGCTGGCCATGCCTGCTGCTCTTTGGATTCAGTGGCCTTGCTGCATTCCTTCACCTTGCATAATACCACTGTACTTTACCCTTGTGAAGTGGTCTAAGTGCTGGAATGCCCCGTCACTTTATGTTCGAGCCCCAGAACACTTTTGGCGCATGAAAGCAAGTAATATCCTTAATTTTCAGATGAAAAAGACGTCAGTGACCTGCTGGTGCTGAACTAGGCCTAGAGCCTCTCTCTTGACAGTGCAGCTAGCCAGGTTTTGTTTCCTGCTGTCTTTATAACTGAATGTAACAACTTCATTCTCGGAGCAGAGGTCAGCTGGACTTGGAAAAGCCATTATTTGATAGAAAAAGCACCACCAATATTTTTAAAGCTGCCATGTAATGACTACAGGAACCCATCAAGCAGATTCTTTTCTTACCCCCAGACTTTTCCCCTCCACTTCCAGAGCCTCTTCTTATATCTGAGATGTAGGTAACCCTAACTATGTCCCATGTCCTAGTGTCCTGGAACCCAGGTGATTTGGTGGAACAGGAGGCAGGACCCTTTGTCGCATCGGGGTCTGTGGGAGCTGCCAGAGAGAGGGCTTACTCCATGATTGTTCCTACCTCACACTCTAACTTGCTTCAGAAGGGCTGCTGTGTTTAAGAGTGACGAACAGCAGCCTTTGGGTCCAGGGCCATTGGGATCCAATGGGCAGATGACTGTGAGCCTCAGCCTTTTCCTAGTGACCAGGAGTGGCAATGGGAACAGCCCACCTTTTGAAAATGCACAGGAAAAGTTATCTCTGTGCTCCAGAATTCTCTGAAAACAGCTTGTCAGATGCACTAGAGCTTTCATAGAAATATTGGTTGTGGTCGGGCTTGGT